TTTCCCTCAACCCTGACCAGTCTCCCAGTCCCTGCCGCTAAAAAACAGCCCCACAGCATGAGGCTACTACCAGCACACTTAACTTTTGGGATGCTACTCTGCAGGTGATGAGCAGAGCTGCTTTTCTTCAAACATGATGCTTAGAATTGAGGTTTATCAGACCAGATAATCTTGTTTCTCAAGAGCCTGAAGGTCCTTTAGGTTATTTTTTGCAAATTCCAAGTGTGTTTTCATGTGTCTTCACTGATGAGAGGATTGAGTTTGGCCACACCTCCATAAAGCCCAGATCGGTGGAGTGTTGCAGTGATGTTTGTCCTTCTGTAGGTTTCTCCCATCTGCATGTATGATCATGGAGCTCAACTAGAGTGACCATCAGGTTCTTGGTCACCAGTCTAGACAAGGCTCTTCTCCATCATTCGCTCAGTTTGGCTGGGCGACCAGCTCTTGGAAGAGTCCTGGTTGTGCCAATCTTATTCCATTTGAGAATTACGGAAGCCACTGTGCTCTTAGAAACCTTCAGTGCAGCAGAACTTTTTTGTAGCCTTCCCCAGATCTGTGCTTCGATATAATCCTGTCTCTGAGCTCTGCAGACAGTTCCTTTGACCTCATTGTTTGGTTTTCGCTCTGATTTGCATTGTCAGCTGTGAGGCCTTTTATAGAGAGGTGTGTGCCTTTCCAAATCATGTCCAATCAATTTAATTTACCACAGGTGGACTCCAATCAAGGTGTAGAAACATCTCCGCAATAATCAAGAGAAATGGGAGGCACCTGAGCTAAATTTCAAGTGTTGTTGCAATACTTATGTAAATGTGATATTTCAGTTTTTTCTTTTTTATAAATTTACAGACATTTCTAAAATTCTGTTTTCACTTTGTCATTATGATGTACGGAGTGTAGATTAATGAGAAAAAAAAAAAGAATTTAAACAATTGTAGTATCAGGCTGCAACATAAACTGAAAAAAAGTGAAGGGGGTCTGAATACTTTCTGAATGCACTGTATATACCATAACTGTGAACAGAGCTTTTCTGTGATTTTGGACATGCTGGCCACCTCTCGTTGAACATGCTGAAATAATCTGTCAGAAGGCGATTTATATTGTAAACAGGATCTCACCGGTTTGCAGGATGTTTAGATGAACAGCTGCTCTGACAGTGCCAACAGGACTGACCGCCTGGCACTCGTACTGGCCCTGGTCATGAAGGGCCACGCGGCTGATGCGCAAGCTGCCCGATGAGAGAACAACGTGCCGTCTGTCATTAGGCAGGGAGCTGCCTATTGTAGGAGAACAGAGTTTTAGTGATTTTGTCCAAGCTGAAAACAGTTGATATAATCACTGACAGACAGCAATTCAATAATCTATAAATGTGTCCTTGTGGCCTTTTAAGGACAGTTCAGAAGAAATTAAATTCTATCTGAGGCATGCTGTTGATTCAGACTCATCTCTCAGTTAGTGAAGACAAACAAAAATCATGTTTACAGTACATACAACTGTGTAGGCATCCAATCAGAATTTCATAACTAGATCTTTGTGAAAAACTACACTTGTAGTACACAAGTACAAGAATGTACACTTGTAAAGTGCTTCAATCGTAAAAGCATATTTTATATTTGTACTTGCAGATAATATGAATGAAATACAAATCTACTGAAATGTACTTAAGACTTTCTTGACTATGTTTCTTAACACACTTTTATAAAGTGCACTTTGTAATAATGTCAGATTAAAAGTTTTACTTTAAAGTATATTTTAAATACATGACTTACAAGTTTGAACAGAAATGACATTACAGTATATTTGAGCTTGTCAGTGATTATTATATATTTTTATTTAATTGTAAATACTATGCAATTAAGTGTCCAACTTATTCATTTAAAGTATATTAAGTAATTTTTTTAACAAGTAGTTTTTTAAAAAAAATTTGTTTTAAGTACGCCAAAGTGTACTTTTTTCATATGGGGATTTATCCCCATTTTTTCCAAACTGAGGGACAGATTTCTGTGGTAATTGACAGCAAGCCACTGAGCTTAAACTTGGAACATTCGTTTAACCTTAAACAAAACCATTGCCTGGATTGTACTGATATACTGCCCTAAACTGTTTTAATGCCATGTTATCTTTTTAAAAATTAATTAATGCCAGTTGGTCAGTTTTTTACTACATAAAAATGCTGACCAGACTTGACTTAGGCAGATTGTTGAATAGTGTGGACTCCATCTCACCGCCGCGAGTCCATGCTATGACAGGCTGAGGATAGCCGCTGGCCTCGCAGGGAAACTCAACTGTATGACCCTCCAGCACAGACTGGTCCTGAGGGGTCACTGTGAACTGAGGACGAGCTGAGGAAGAAGAAAATAATTGAGAATGAGCACAACCAAAGACTGTCAGGATGACAGACAGAACTAATCTTTCATATCAAACAGGTACAAGCTTTGGATAAAAAAAAAATTGTAATTGTTACAGCCAAATGTATTAGTTTTTTCAAATTATATTTATGGTTTGGTTCCAATCTTAATTTTTGATTTAATATTAAATGTAATTTCATACAAAATAATAAAAAAATATTATTTATTACAAAAAGCATTAATTAATTAATTCTGCTATTAATATAAAAGCAGAATTTTCACTTGGGGTAAATCTAAAACATTTTGTTAATGCTTAATTTAGTTTACTTACTACTACTATAGACAAATTTGTCTTTTTAAAATATGCATCATATTTTCTGTTATGTACTAACACACACGCACGCACGCTAGGGGTTGCACCGACTAATCGACTAGTCGACTTCAATGCTCTGCCATGACGCTTTAAGCTTGACGTCGACTAGTCGCTGGTCCTATAGAGGGTGCAACAGGATAAGAAATCTTTGAAGGACTTCCACATTTACGCTCTGTTTCCAAACAGTTCAAATGACAAATAAATGCATACTCTGAAAGCACTCCACAAGACATGTGTGATTATATTACCGGATGCTCGAAATTGAACGGGAGAATGCATGTTTTAAACAGCTTATTGCACAGGTAAATTAATCGCTGTTCTAATCTAATGCGCTGCTGCACTGTAACACACACACATAGGCTACAGACAGTAGCGCGTACATCACGCGCACAGAGTCATTCAGCGCGGAAATGTATTGTCAACACTGTTCTGTGATTTCTCAATAAAATAGCTTAGAAACTGAAAAGTTCAAGCATTTATTTCTTAATAACTAAATTCCACAGCTTCACTACTAGTAGAGAGATGCTGCCAGGTAGAATTAATTCACACACGCAATCGCTCTCACTAATGCATTCATATCCCGCGCACACACACACACACACACACACACACACACACACACACACACACACACACACACAAAAAGCACAAGAAGGATTAATTAAACCCTTAATAATGTATTATATCTGTGTTCTGCACATCAACACTGGTCTCAAACCAAATACTATTTAAACAAAATTGTTTCTATTAATTCTTTGTATGGGGAGTCTTATTTGCTTTTAGACAAACTTTTGGAAACCAATAGAATTTTTTTTTTTTAATGCACTTTCATTAGTGCTTTTTGAATAAGAGAACATAACGCTGCTTATCCCTTCCATTTCGAAGGACTGGATGTTTACACTGAACAGTATAAAAATACATATTTCCCATTTGACTTACATCTGTTCTCAATCAGAGCTTTTGTGCTACTTCATATATAAAATCCACAAATGAGTAAACAAATGAGTATCCACAAAAGTAACATAAAACGTTATATATTATGTGTATACATGTTACATTTTGATACATTGTAACAATATCTCATAGCTGCTTTGAGATTATATGTATGGTGAAAGGCTCTATATACAAATAAACATGACTTGGGTTAACTGATTCCTGGCTTATTTTTTACTTCCATCCTTCACACTGTATACCACGGGCCAATGTTCTTTCATTAACTTCACAACTGCCACCTTAACAGTGAATGACACCTTTAGGCAACCATTACTTGAAATTTAAATAGCATATAGAAGAACCTAAATTATGTAAAACAGAATCATGATTATTAACTGACGTAACAAATTTCCACTTCACTTACCCTGTACTATAATATACGCAGTGGCGTGGATGGTGTCTACGTTGTTGCTTGCGAAGCAGGTGTACTGTCCCCCATCGGCCTGATTGACGTTCTGGATGTAGAGACCTCCTGAAGGAGTGATGTTGATGCGGGGGTCCACTGGGAGGGCCATGTGGTCTCCTTTAGTCCAGGTCACGCGGGGCTGCGGCTGGCCCGTCGCACTGCACTCCAGGGTCACGCTCTCCCCGACCAGAACCTCTGTATTCTGCGGCTGGATCACGAAACTAGGTCGAGCTGGAGAGAGAAAGACCTCCAGTTAGTTGCCTCAGAACAGACTGCTGTATGCAAAAAGACTGTTGTTAAATAGTCTCCACCAGACTGCCATGCTATCTAGAATTATCCATGAAAATGTAAAAAAAAAAAAAAAATTCAAACAATCATAGAAAGAAAGGGTTTGATGTTGTACAAACTAAGTACTGCATTGTAAAAAAAAAAAAAATTAAGTTGTAAATAAAAACAGATTGGAGTGTGTTTTACATAATAATACTTTTTTTAAATACTCTTAAATTTCATATTTAATTTAATGTGTTAATTATTCCTCTTTGTAATTTATGAAATTTGTAAGCTTTTTGAGTGAAAATTGTTTCAAAGTACATCCAACATTTTTTTATTTTTTTAATTCATTATCTCTTTGTAATTATTTGTGAAATTCACTGAAACAATTTTTACTCAGAAATTGCTGAAGTTAAACCTACACCAACTTTTCAATTCAATGTTATACTTCTAATTTCTTTGTAAAATTTACTAGCAATTTCTGAGTGAAAAGTGTTTAAGTAAATCCTACACATTTTTTTAATTCAATGTTTTACTTGTTGCTTTGAAATTATTTGTGCAATTTACTGAAACAATTCTCACTCAGAAATTGCTAAATAAACTGTGTACATATTTTAATTCAGTGTGTGACTTTGTTTCTTTATAATCATTTATTAAATTTAATGAAAACTACAGTAAAATAATTCACTACACTAATTCAATGTGCGATATGGTTCTTTGTAATTATTTGTTAAATTTACTAGCAATTTTCGAATGAACATTGTTTAAAGGGGTCATATGATGCTTTTTTAAAGATCATTATTAGACACAGTAATGATGCAGTACACAAGCCGCGGTTAAGACAGCTGACTCCACTGTGATGTGACCCTCTCTCTCTCGCGCGCGCGCGCACGCGCGCGCACACACACACACACACACACACACACACGATACGTAAAACTCCGCATTTGAACAGTCAATAGCAAATACTTAAACTAATAACAAAACAGTAGCTGATTCAGAAGCGCCAGATTGTCATAGCAAAGTCAGAATTACCTCCTCTCCTAGGTTCACGAAACGGTCGTTCATAAAATGCATTGCTGTTCTGTTGTAAGTGATCTTAATGATTCCTAAATGCATCTACTTTCGGAAGGCCAAATAAAGTGCTTTTGCTTTCACCTAGAAACACACAGCGTCTCCCTGACATGCTGCTTAAACACTAACTGCGGTTACTGAAACCACACCTTCTTTCTTTGCGTGCACATTTGGGCGGCATTATGCAAATATTTCCACATAGTGAGGTAGATATGTGGGGGCGTGTTAGAACGAGCCATTTTAGGGGGGCGTGGCAGTCTTAACTTTGATAAAGAATATCTCTTTGGTTTTGAGACTTTAGTCTTTGCAACTTCAAGGATCTTATCTATGCACAATCAGCTTGTAACACTCCAAAGAGAAAGGAAAACTTGAAATCGCATCATATGACCCCTTTAAAAATAAATCCTACACCAATTTATTTTTTTCTAATTCAGTATGTTACTTGTCGTTTCACTGTAATCATTTCATCAATTTCTGAGTATAATTTGTTTCAAACTTAATGCTACACAAAAAAATGTTGTTGAATAGTCACTGCCTACAGGACCCTATCACACTCACATGGTGATCTGAAGTATCGCAAGCGGACCTCTGAGGTCTTCACCTCTCCAGCCACGTTTTTGGCCATGCACTGATACACGCCCTGGTCTGTCTCCCGCGTGTCCTGGATCATCAGGGTCCCATCTTCCAGAAGATTGAGACGTGTGTCGTCCCTCATGTTCAGAGCATTGCTGATCAAAAAATATTTTTCATATACTGAGGATAAAATAACCAAAATATTTTATTTCCCTCATCATTTACTCATATTCTTGTCAGTCCAAAGCTGTATCACGTTCTGTTTTACATGGAACACAAATGTAGAGACGCATCTCAAAATGCCCAGACTGTCAAGCTCCAAAATAACAAAAAAAACAACAAAAAATAGTCCATGCGATTCCTCATGCATCATATTTAAAGTCTTCTAAAGCTGTCTGATAGGCCCTGTTTACACTTGGTATTAAGATGCATTTTTGTCAGTCTGATCACAAATAGACTACGTTAAATACAGGTGTAAACAGGGTCTAAACATTTTGAGCTTGCCCACTTTTGACCATGCAGATGTGAGAACCAAATACGTTGCATGTCAATTTACCATGTCTCGTCACTGCTGTTTGGGAACACAGTCATGGGCAATTATACAGTTCTGGGAGGCAATTATTCAAAAATACTTTGGCTCAGGCATTTCAGAATGCCCATAACAACATTTCAGGTGCTGTGCAATGAGATCAGTTAGCTGGTTAGGCAAGTTATGCCATCTCATCGCACAAAGTCACATTAATTTTTTGATGCGTATGGAGGAATTTATTCGGTAAATGTGTTTCCATCTCCTATTATTTGCATTAACTCTTTTTCGCACAAGTCAAAAACCACCTCAAGCGAGCGTAAAACTTTCAAATAAAGGGATTTTTTTTCCATCACTTGTCTCTGATGCGATACTTCAAAATGTGCATAAAAACAAGGTGATATAAACATAGCTAGTGACAGTGAAGATTATCAGTAAAAAAAAAAAAAAAAAAAAAGATGGCTTTATAATATCTGGACTGCATAAATCCTGTAGCGAATCTAGACAGGTGGTGCTGGGGGAGGTGGAGGGTTTCAGAGTAACTGCAAGCTCAATGGCTGCAAAATCAGCAGAGGCCTATCGTTTTGTTCCATGTAGTAAATTATGTGATTGCTAGCAGATTGCGTGTAAAGGACCTATCAGTCTGCGTCGTTAAAGTTTCATGACTGAACTATGTGCAGCAGCATGTCTGTGTATCTTTTTTTTTTTTTTTGCATAAATGTTTTGAATGGAGTATCACTATACGTTGTTGACTATTCCTGTATATTTATTCCGAAAAATATGTGGCTATTTGTTTGATGAATTTTGTGATTGGTGGATGATATATTATCCAATATTTTCATTGGTTGTTTGCAAGTTTGAATTTTGTATTTGTTTGCATTTAAAGGAACCTATGTACACCTGCAATCTTTTAGCCCTGACGAAGGCCTGTGTGCCGAAACGCGTTGGCAAAATAAAATTCCCTTTTTAATTACATTCTTTCTTTGCTCTGACCCCTTAAAGCAGCACTATGTAACTTTTGGCGCTCTAGCGGTTAATAAACAGAACTGCACACATCCCGCGGAAGAACATTCCAACCGGAGCTACTTCTCTAAGTTTATGTCTATGGCGATTCACGCAGGTATGTGTTACTCCGCAGCGGTGACGACCCGACCAGGCTACAATAGTCCAAATATAAGTACTTATTATAAGTGTACCATAGTGATTCGGAATAAGACAAAAACGCGGTTTGGAAGATGAATTCATGATGTACTCGCTCATTATATACATTTTGCAAATTTTGAACACAGAAAAAGTTACATAGTGCTGCTTTAACATCCCAAGTGTCGCTGGTATTGTATCAATATGTGTATCTTGCTCTGTAGCATCAGCATAGCAGAGCAGATCTATTCGGCCAAGACTAAACACATTAACATCATATCAATTAACATGCTATAAAACTAAAACTATATTCATGATTGAAATACTGCACAAGTCTAATTAGTACTTTTATGGCGTTTTTGTCATTTTCAGACAGCCTCATTATGGAAAGAGCTCTCTAGACATGCTGTAATATTTCTTTTGTGTTCCATGAAAAACAGGTTGTATCTGCTTTGAGTAACATCAAGGAGAATAAAAGAAGACAGAATTTTATTTCAAGCTGAAACTATTCCTTTAAACATGTACATTGAGGGAGGGAGCTTACTTGTTTCTGAGCCAGATGATCTGAGGTTTGGGGTTGCCTTCTGCCCTGCATGTGAAGTACACAGTGTTCCCAGAGGTTACGTCAACATCTTGCGGCTCAGATGTGATCCGGGGAACTTCTGCTCCACAGTAGAGACACATTCAGATGAAACTAAATATAAGTGTGCCGCAAAAGACGAGGTGTGAGGAGAAGTAAAACAAGTTTAATTTGGTCTGTAAAAGCTATTGGAATTACAGCCCTAAAGGTTTATTTGTAGTGTAACATTCGACATCTCCCTCTTGCCTCACTTCCTTTGAACTGGTTTGGCTGCCCGTGTTGGTTGACGGCCAGGCACGAGGAGATTGTGTCTGGTCACAACGGCCATGTGCCAAACCCCAAACATTACCCACCAACACCAATGTGCACATGGTGAAATGTATCCCTGAACAATCTGACAGAACTATGAAATGCTTTCTACTGGCAAAACCAAACGTCTGGTTGCACACTGAGTCAAAGTCCTTGCATATAACAGAAGAGGGACAAAAATCTCCTTTCGTGTTCCAAAGAAAGTAAGAAAATCATGCAGTTTTGCAATTCCAAGGGGATAAGCAAATGATTACAATATTTTTGGGTGACCTTTACTTTTCATTCTATGACTAACTTTTGTATTGCATTGCGCAGTGTGGCAGTAATGCGACAGGTCCTGTGCCAGTCCCAGAGAAACTGCAGCTGTCTGGCGGGCTGTTGCTGTGTTTTGACAGTTGCCTCAAGCGTAGAGGGGGTGGAAAAGCCATACGGTGTTAACCCCATTCTTCTACAGAGACAATAGGGTCGTTTGTGGAGCTGCAACAAGCCTGAGCAAGTCTATCGAGCACAACTGCTACTGTAGTGAAACCTCTACTGCTGCTCTGAGGTCACCCAATGGACCACATTTCAGAGAAAAAGATGTAGACGTAAATAATTATTATATCAATTATTCATTTTATTTATATTTCATTGAACATAACAGTAACTAAAAAAATAGTACGTTTAATCATTTATTACTAAAAATGAAATAAAATCAATTAAATGAGTGAGTTCCGCCAAATAAATACTGCTGCAATTGTAAGAATATGTTTTATTATCTGCTGGTTCTATGTGTTACATGTTAATAGCCTTGAAATAGCTTCAGTGTAGTCCATTACGTTTTGTTCATAGCTTGTAGTGCAGCAGCTAAGTACTTTTTCTGTAGGTGGTTTGACAGTAGTTTGAGCACTTGAAATTATAAAAGGCTTCCGTTTCTAACCACCGTAAAACTGTAAAAAAATGCCACAGCAAAATACCTTTTTAACTGTAAGTCACGTAACATAAACAGTGGAAAACCCATCAGATCATTTCATTTAACTGTAAAATAAAATGTATGTTTTTTGCAAGTAAAATCTATAAATTACTGTATTGTTTATGGTGAAAAACACTAAAAATCTATTTTTTACCTGCATGAAACATGTCATATGATTATATTTGACTTAAATAGTGTTGTTTCTTCTTATTTTTGTTATCAGTTATGTACATTAGGGTGTTTTGTGTTATATTACCTGTTATTTAGTTAATGCTTATTGCATTATTTTAGTGTTGTCTGTTATCCTGATGGTGTTTTGTGTTTATGAACCTTATGGCCAGGCCACTAACAATGAACTCTGATTCATCAAGTGGCTTTCTATTGTGGCAGTTAGTACATTTAAGGTACAAAAACCTTAGTATTTCAAATAGTTTGGTATATTAAGATTATATTATTTAGTGAAATATATGGTTATAAAATACACAGGAACCAATAAGTCATATCCTTTTTACCATAATTTGTTTTTCAGTGAACACTGAACTGGTAATTAGCCCAATATCTGAGCTGCTTTTTTTCCCAGCTGACAATTCTGACATCAGAAAGCCCAGTAGAGTTGACCCGTATTTATTTCACAGATGGTTGAAACGAAAAGAGTCACGTTTGACCCTTCACTCCTTCCAGTGTTTCACGAGGAGGTGGCGTAGCATGCAAACAATGACACATCTGGGAAATCTCTCCATACTCCAGCTCCCAAAACCAGATCAGCATCTGTTATTTATTATGATGACTAACATGTTCAAAGACATTGAGTGGTCCCATCGAGCAGAATCATGTGGATGTGGTGAATGGGGGCAGATGCTTTAAATCTTTCAATAATTTAGTGTCAGTTCATCATTTTGTTTTTGATTTGAAAACAATGTGTATATTGGTGTGTTTGTGTGTGAATGGCCTCACCACAGTTGAGCTCCTCTGCAGTGAGAGTTGCGACCGAGCGTCCCTGCAAGCGGCTGGGATAGTCGCATGTAGCTGCGGCTTGAGCGTTACCGGACTCTGCGTACTGCTTCAACAGATCGGCCAACCACAGCAGTTCACAGTCACAGTGCAGTGAGTTCGAGTCGAGGCGCCTATAAACACACACAAACACAAAATTAAAATGAAATTTTGTTGCAGATCTTTTGTTAAAATAATACTGTTGCACCAATTCACACTTGTAGCGGATGGGAAAACAATGCTTTATGATCAAATCACTGATAAATTTGTAGCAATGTTGGTGTAGTTGGGTCAAAATGGTAACACCATTCTGTGAAAAGTCTTTCTAAACTCACATGCACCACTCTCTAATCCTAATCCTTGCCAAACAAGTTTTATTATCTATAGTCTCGAATGGCTTGTAGGAGGAGGTTCAGAATATCAACACAAAAAGTGAAATATTTTCTTTGATTTTAGATTTCAAGTTATTTGTGACCCTGGAGCACAAAAGCAGTCATAAGTAGCCCAGGTATATTTGTAGCAATAGCCAAAAATACATTGTATGGGTCAAAATTGTCGATTTTTATTTTATGCCAAAAATCACTAGGATATTAAGCAAAGATCATGTTCCATGAAGATATTTTGTAAATTTCTTACCGTAAATATATCAAAACTTCATTTTTGATTAGTAATATGCATTGCTAAGGACTTCATTTGGACAACTTTAAAGGCGATTTTCTCAATATTTTGATTTTTTTGCACCCTCAGATTCCAGATTTTCAAATAGTCGTTTCTCAGCCAAATATTGTCCTATCCTAAAAAAAACATACATCAATGGAAAGCTTATTTATTCAAATCTCAATTTAAAAAAATTGGTTTTGTTGTCCTTGGTCACATTTAGTACATCAAAACATTGAAACCCCTAAAATTATAAACAGTGTTAATAAATATTTAAAAATACATTTTTAACATCCTCATCTAAAGGAATGGTACTAAATCTGGGATATTATAGTTAACTGAAATTAGAACCATTCATTTTTTTTTTATTTTAGTTTTGGTAAAGCAGGCAGCAGTTCTCATTTATATTTAAATAAAAATAAAAAAATAAAAATGTACACATTTAAATAAAAAAAATCCAAATTACAAAAACAAAACAAAATTACAACAACTTCAAACTGAAAATGAAAACCAACTCAATATACTAATAAAAATATAGTAGGATTTCAAAAATATTAAAACAACACTGCACTAAATATTTTAATTAAATTTTTTGTAGCTTAAATGGAACAAAAGTTCTCAAGCTCTAATTTTTTAAAGGGGTCATATGATGCTGCTAAAAAGAACATTATTTTGTGTATTTGGTGTAATGAAATTTGTTTATGCAGTTTAAAGTTAAAAAACACATTATTTTCCACATACTGTACATTATTGTTTCTCCTCTATGCCCCGCCTTTCTGAAACGCGTCGATTTTT